GCTGAAGGAAGAATTAATTTTATTCCGAAGAACTTGAATTATGCCACGAGAGGTAACCAAACGAACCTTTTGCCAAGAACTAAGTTTTGACCCAACCTCAACAATTTTATCCAGAATATCAGAATAAGGTAGATCCCAAGCGACCTTAACTAATATTCTACAAGCTTCCTCAGAAGCCCAACATTGTTCGAAACAAAAATAATCTTCACCTCGATCCCAGGATGAAGGTTGAACCCAAGCAGTATCCATTAATAAATAAAAATGATCAGAAGTTTCAGCAAACTCAGTAAATACCTTACTATTTGGAAATGCTTGTAGCCAACTTTGGGAAGCAACAAAATGATCAATATGTTCCTTAATAGCATGATTCGCCCACGTAAACCAACCTCTAGAAGGCTTAACATAAAATAAACCATTATTGGCAAGCACCATACGAAACTCATCCATTTGAACTCTTGATTTCCTTCGCACACCTTGTTTTTTAGAATCATGAAGGATTGCATTAAGATCCCCACCCAATAACCATGGAAAATTAGAAGCATTTCGTAAAGAATGAATAGTGGACCAAACCTCAATCTTGAGATTAGCATGGTGACTTGCATATAAACCTGAGAAATGAAATTTGGTAGTGCCATCATCAATGATAAAATCAATATGAAACCGAGAATGATAAAATCGAGAAATTAATATTATTATTCCGCAAGAGCATTATCCCAGTACAATCATTGCTTTTGTCTACAACGAAACAATTATCTATACTAAGCTTACAACGTATATAGTTACTCTTGTTTTGCTTTATTCGAGTCTCGTTTAAGAAAACAACATTTGCACTCTTAAGACTGATATATTGGCCAATTGCACGAACTGTCGTAGCGTTATTTAGACCACGACAGTTCCAACACAAGACAATCATTGATCACGGCGGGGTTGAGCCTCAACTGCCGCCACAGAATTTTTAGAGCTACTCATCCCAACATCATTTGTTGAAATATGTGCAAGTCTTGCTCGCTTAGACAAAATTGGGTTAATAGTATTTGCCCTGTAAACCACGCTTAGACAAACGATTTGTTAAAATATATGGACCATCATTACCAGTTTTAACCATCATAACAGAAGTATTTGAATATTCAGTATCCTCCAAAACTACAATTTTATTGGACATATCTCCTGCTGAAGGGTTGTCGACCACCACCTCTGTACTTGTATTCTCCACAATTTGACCAGATTTGGTCGGCGATAATGGACTCAATCCATTATTTTCAATTGGAACCACACCTTCGACCTCCTTGTTAACTTGTGCACCATCAGCAGCATGTGAGGAACCTTTCACCAAATTTGGCCACTTACCACGATCAACCATAAGAGCAGCTGGACAAGTCAGTGGAGCTAATTCCATAACAGAAACATATCCAACACCCTTCTTCACACTAGTAGGCAGAGTAGTTTTTGGAGGAGGCAAACGCATCCATTCGCCATACTGAAGTTTAGAAGATGCTGTAATAGAAACTGTACGACAGGATGGTGCTTGATGACCCAACAATCCACAACCAAAACAAAAAATAGGCAACCTCTCATAACGTACTGGGCATAAACGAGGTTTAGAATTATCAGGAATCCCAAGGGCGATACAGCGACGTAAAGGCTTCATGGCATCAAACCGAACCCGTACACGTAGAAAATCACCCATATTACCACCAAGGACCCTCGTATCAACAGCAATGACCGTCCCCATACTACCACCAAGCGAGATTGCCATTGCTTTAGTAATAAGACCCAATGGCACCTGATAAATCCGGATCCAAATCTCCATATGTGAAAAATCATAATCCTCAGGGCATGAAAGAGGATCGAATGAGAGCAATTAAAACCAAACATTATTAAACGACCATGGACCACGCCTCAAAATATAATCCTTAGCCTCTGCCGAACGTAATTTAATATGAAAGAACCTCGGCCGAAGCTCCAAAATCTCATCCGCATTGTCACTCTTCCATATTTCCCCAAAAACGCCGCCAAGAGCTGGCCCGTCAACCGGAATCTCAGACATGAATTTCCCATCAATCCAATTTTCCAAACCCAACTCTTTTATTTGATCAGATGGGAGAGATGTAACAACATGTGAAAATTCATCCTCGGTGAATGAAAGATCACCCAGTTGCAATAAAATATCATCAGCCATAATAACCAGTACAAGACAACTAAAAGAGAAACAAAAATGGTAAAACATCAAAGAGAGAGGACAACAAACAAATGTAGTCGGCCAGATGAATGAGAAACCAGAATCATTCCAGCCCCAATAATATAATACAGCCGAAGTAAAGAAATCAGGAATCCCGATAATGAAGTGCCAGATTATGCAGAAAAATCTGTTAAGGAATCTCCAGCTCACCAAATTTCGACACGCAATCAACAAATAACCCAGACACCACGGAACATGATTAAATAAATTCATAAAAGAAAGAAAGTCAATCCGTTGCCAAATAGGAAAGTGAGATAATAACCCAAAATTATATACACAAATCGACCCTTGACCAGGAATATAATAATGATATAATATATTTCGTAAATATCCTATCATAATATATCCAGGACAGCAAACAGGGAAAAAAATAACAAATTTTATAACCATGGTAATTCACCTTCAAAAATGAACCCAAAGTCCAAAGAAAGTATACGAAAATTGTTGCATGGAAAATGACCCATACATGAAGAATCATATATTGTAATTTAAAATAATTAAACAAAAATAATATTAAAAGAATTCCATGCAAAAACCACGAATAAACCCAATCTGGAAACGTAAGAAAAATCAAACTGTAACCCTCCCTGTAACCGTCAAAAAGAGGGCAAAGTTCAGCATGAAGGGCCGAGCAACGGTCAAGACTGCAAAAGTACCAGCCAACCAGACGCCATATGAGTCTCGAAGGACACTACCGCCTGTTGTCTCCTTGGAAGAAGGATTGACGGCTCCGTCCGAGATCAACTTGACAACTCCAAGACTGAGGGACTCCAAACATGCTTCTTATTTGTGCGGTGGATATTCCTTTTGCTCGAATGAATTGAGCCCAAGAGCGCGCGGACTAGATTATAGCCGAAGTGGATCAGATCTCTCTGTTGAAGACGAAATTGCAGTTGCTTCCAAAGTCTCCCAAGCAGAATTCCAAAGAGATACCTCCAGTAGTAAGCTTCGCCCACTGATCCTACAGGATGATTTAAATTAGACTTCAGCCAATTAATAAAAGATAAGGGAAAAAAACTCCATATTAACTACGGGGGTATAATCTGAGTCCACATCATACTTGCCGTAGTACAAGCACAACCGCGGAAGGGCGCAGTGGCAACAGAAGGTCTTATTAAAGAGTGGTGCGTGGAACATTATCCAGTCGACAAGCTCAAAAACTTGCAATTATTTAATTCGTAGAGATGAAAATAATTTGGAACCAATAACTAGTTGGTCTAGTAGGATGAGAAACTAGGTCCCTTAAGCAAGGTCACAGGTTCAAACCCTAGCGTTTGTGAATGGAACAAACTGGTTGGTAGGGTCGTCTTCGCCTCTACAATACCCGATCTAGATTAATCGGTCAATAGATCGAATACTAGTAATTAATTCAAAGAAAATAATTTGGAATCAAATTTCTTAGCAAATTATTTAATCCATTTTCTCTTGTGAAGGTTTATATACCTAATCTTATTGAAAAGGAAAGCATGCTACGAGTACTTAAATACATATAAATGATAATGTCAATAAACACATTTAAATTAATATTTGTCATCAATTAGATGTCTTAAAATATCAATACCCAATAATAGATATTGATATCAGATTAAGTTACGTACATAAAATCTATATTTGAAGACTACCCCAAACATTCAAAACCAAGCCCTCCCTGGACCTTGGGCGCACATAAAATAAGGTGAAGTACCTCAAAATTTGTATACGAATTATAACTTCATCAAAAGTTCTATAACGTATGGGTCCACTCTTCTTCCTTTTATCTACGATGGTCTACTCTTTTATGTAACGTCCAATTAGTTATTCATGTAATTTTCCCCTCTAAAAGACTCCTCACTGTGGCTGGCCTTTAAATTTAGAAATCTGGACTTAATTCATATTAAATGATCTCCAACAAAAATATTTATTGATTTCAGATTCCCTTGGATTATCATTTTTTAAGTTAAAATCTTGTTCGAGTGTAAGAGGGTTCAAGTTATTTTTTTATTGAAAAATTTTGAATTTAAATTAAAATAATTTTAAATAAAATTTACTTGTTGGCCCAAGATTTTTACTGATTTACCTCGTTTACCAATAATTTTACAAAGAGATCTGTCAATAAAAGTAGTCAACGTAAAGTTAAACTAACAAATCTAAAAAAAAATTATGATTAGATTTAGAATCTGTCAAGAAAAATTATAATTAACAATTTTTTTTTATAAATTGTTAATTTCATGTCTAAAAATAGTTATCATCGGGTTTTCTTTTAGTTATCATTGACGTTAATTGCAGTTAGATACATGTATCATATTTCGTTATGAAATAGTGCATTCGTGTCTTCTTTTAGTTAAATTTATATTTTTCAGTTAGTTATGAAGTAATGTACTCGTGTCTTCTTTCAATTAAATTAAAATTGCATTCGTTATAAAATAATGCATGAAAAATAACAAAATGAATCACTTCAAAAATAATTTAAATTATACTTTACATTTCAAAATTTGAAATCATTATGTTCGTTCATTTATTAAATTAAGTATTTACATCATATTCTATAATAAAATAATTTAAAGAGATCACTTTAAACATAGAATATATTGAGATTACATTAATCTAAACATTTTTAATGAAGTAATGCACTAAACACATCAAAACCATTAATCGGAACATAGAAATTAAAGCATTGAAATTACATATTTCTTTCACAAAGGTTTCGAGTTTTTCATCAAACAAATGGATTATGATCCTCATTAAATCTCTATGTTTTAGAAACTTCTTCTTCTTTGAGAGATTAAGATAACTGATGAAGATATTTGGGCACAAATTTTCGAGCCCAAACATGTTTTCCATTGATGTTAAACTTAGCTTTGTCACTACCATTAAGGATCATTTCAATGGCAGATGTCGAGCGGCAAACGATACGTGCAAACAAGGACTGTTCAGTAGGCATCACTTCTTGCATATGTAACGATTCGATGCAATTCCCATAGAACCTGGTGAAAAATTCTCTAACTTCCCATTCATGAACCGGATACCCCTTTGAGAAAGTGACGAATATGGTCCGGTCATCTGGTGGGACTACGTCGCTGATTTGGCTCCACGGAAGTCCCACCCTGACCGGACCATATCCTACCCCCTGATCCAAACCTGGTTGAACCGTAGGTTGTTGCACTTGTTGTTGTTTTATTTGGGCATGATTTGCTAAGCTTCGTGTGGCATTTCGTTCCATGGCGGCTTGCATGATGTCCCTCAACACCCTCATGCACACCTCGTTGACGATCTTCGCCAAGCCTCGCATCGCGATCAGTCGATGCCTGGCGAAGAACTGGAGACAAAGATCATCGTGGATCAAGTTTTGCATCGAAGTGACATCGCTGGATAAACACGATGTCGATGCCTGGTCATTGTGAATGATGTTAAGACACACGAAAGCCTCATCGGCGAGTTCATTTACCACCGTGTAAGGCAAAGACAAGATCTTTTTCACGACATGTTTGAACCCAACTCTTTCCAGCCAAAGCCACAGAGCTACGAACTGAAGAGCTTCCACTGGGTCTCGCCATAGATCTATCACGAGTAAACGATATATTGTACGATCAATGTTGTGAAACATGTTAAATTCCTCATCTGAAAGAGAAATCATCGTTTCCAATACTGCAAAATCAACCATTTATAATCACCAACAAAAAACGAAATGAAATGTAAAGAAAGAAAGAAAGAAAAAAACTAATGAAATCATCTAAAAGCAAAAGAGAAACCTGATTCTCAGATAGGACTGAATATGCCTTCGGACAAGATGAAATCAAGGGGCCCCACCATAAAACAAGGCAGTGTTTTGATTTCAAAGATGTGTGTGGGTGTGGGTGTTTGCTTATATATCTTTTTGTGCTGATGAGTGTGACTGTGTTGAAGAAAATTGAGCAATGGGGTGAAATAGTTCTTTCTTGAGAAATTAAAATATTGAATAGCCTGAAAACCAACAAAAAGTTTGTTGGGTTTATATGTCAATAGAATAAAGAAATTTGTTTATGATAACGTTTAATTAATAAGAGTGTCGGCTTTGTATGGTATTAGAGTTGGAATCATGTATGGTAATATTCATTACAAGGCATTAAGTTATTTGACATTCGTACTTACCTTGCAAATGTCTTCCCAACGTTAAAAAGAACCTTTTTTCCCTCTAAAAGTTGCATTTCACCGCAATTTCAATTTTTTTTGTCTTAATATAAAAATGAATGTCATAACTATACCTCGAAAAAGCTAAAAACTTTTTCGTTAAAAATAAGTGTCTAATATTTCAAACGATATATTTTTAGGTGTTCAGACGTTAACTGCCATTAAATATCTCCGTTAAGTGACGCTTGATCACGTTTTGATAATTTTGAGATTTTTAAAAAAAATTGAAAAAAAAGAAGAGCCCCACAAAAAGTGATTGGTCGATTGGCGGTCACCGTCAGTGCCACCATCATCATCATCATCATCGACGTCGACCCCCAATCGAACCCTTATTGGTCTTTCGTCATAATATGCTACCATTTGCCGTGGAAAAGCGTTCAAATTTTCATTGGATTTTAAGCCACCATCGTTGTTCTTAGTCGATTCCAGCCAATTTCGTCGTCCATAAGCTATACTGTCGTTGTTATTCGAACCACCATGTTATTCTGATCAAAACCCAACCGTTCGATGATGACGACAATGGTCGACGACCGTTTGAGTTAAAAAATTGAAATTGGAAGTTAGGGATTTGGGTATTGAGGATTTTAAATTTAGGGATTTTGGGTGATAGTAAGGATGACGCTTGATCAATGGGTGGGTGGCGACGGGTGAGTAACCGTTCGACGATGAGGATGGTGGCCGGAGATGATCGGCAACGATTGGTAATAGGGGTTGAAATGAGAGATTTTAGTTTTTTAAGGTTTTTTATAATTTCAGTAAAAAGTTGGGTTTTTTATAAATTAATTAATTTTTTCCTTTTTAATTAAAAATATTTTTTATTATTAAAATTTAAAATATAAATGATGGGCACATAAAAGTATAACTGAGAAAACGTTAGACACTTATTTTTAGTGAAAAATTCTTTATGCACTAAAACGTTTTTCGATGCATAGTTTGAACACTTATTTTTGTATTAAGTTTTTTTTTAATTCTAAATCTAATTTTAATATGATCTAGAGGAGAGAGAAAGAGACTCTAAAAGAAAGAAGAAGAATGCTTCTAACATCTTATCTATAAAAATATGATAAAACAACATAACAATTTTATTTTTTATATAAATTAAACTTGGTTGTAACATAAATGACGAAGTATAAAAAAAGATTGTTTTGTAGCTGAATTAAAAGAAGATAATTTTTATAATTTTCTAATTTTGTTAACGTATGGGTAATAAGTGATATTAACTTATTCACATACGGACACATGATTTTATGTTAACGGGGTAAATTTCTAAAAGTTTAAGAGGGGTGAACCTATAAAACTATAGGGGACGAAAATATATTATCAATTGGAAATATAAAAAAACCTAAAACATATACTAAAATTTTCAAGAAAATGATTGTCTCCACTCGTCTCCTTTGAGTCAATCTCTGAACTTAGTCAAAGATTTAATATGTAATATAGATATCCATAAACTTGGTATTTATTCATGCATTATATTTATATTGTTATTGGTTACTTTTACATTATTTTTTTTTATTTTTGGATTCTATTTTCGACTCAATATCACCCGAAAGTAGTAGAACTTGGTAATAGAGTTAGGGGTCAACTTAAAATTTTAAAAATTTTGGAGGTTTAAATTAAAATTTTTGAAGGGTTTAATTTACATTTTTCCAAAACTTAGGGTATAACTAAAATTTTTAAAATTTTGAGAGGCTTAATGATAATTTTTAAACATTATGGGAGTGGATTTAACTAAGAACATTAAAAGTTTTAAATTTTAATTGAATTTTTAAAAAAAATTGGGGTACAAATTAAAAATTTTAAAAACTTTAAAGATCTAAATTATAATCTTTTAAATTTTAAGGGAGACATGACCTCCACAGCTCCACTAGTCCCTCTTGTATTCCGCCACTTATCGTTAATTAAATTAATAAAAACATCAATTTTTAATTAAAGTTATCCAATAATGATAGTAGTGAAATAATTATATATTACATGTTTGTCTATTTTATGCATTTTTCGCGAGAAATTATCAATTCGATGACATAACAATAAGCTAACGTAAGTAGCTCAAAATTTGAATTATGTATTTATATAAAATTTTATCATAAGTTATAAGGTAAGTTATACTTACTCACTGAACTTTATTCTCTCTATTATTTCACTCTGTCGTTAATCTGGTAACAGCATTATGACATAGTAATTAACATCAAAACGACATAGTTTTGGATCTTATAGAAAATCAAATTTATAACAAAACTACATAGTTTAGGTCTAAATAAAAAATATTTTTCTCTTCATTTTTTCTTTCTTTCTTCTTCCCCCATTCTCTTTCCAGTCCTCCTCAGCTTTACTGAACCCAAATTCCGACCACCATGTCGGCCACTATTCCAACCTTCATAACGGCAGTTTGCTTTGCCAAAACGAAATTATAACTTTTGTCTCTGTTTCTTAACCAAAATACCATCTATTCATTCTAATAAAACCATGAAATCCTCCATACGATGACGAATCTAACACTCTCTCTCTTTCAAAACATCACTGTCTCTCCTTCTCCTTCCCAAAACTTAACTGACACTCTTCTATTCGAGGGCGGAGCTAGGATTAAACTATGAGAGGGGCAAATTACTTATTTTTTAACCGAACAAGGTTCTAAAAGGTAATTAAATCACAAAAATAGAGGATTGAGACTTAATTTCACTAATTTCAAAATTGCCATGTCCTAAAAAATAATTAAACCAGAAAATTTAAGAGAAAGACTTAATTTATTTCACTTTAAAACTGACAGTGTCTTAAAAATAATTAAACCAGATAATTTTAGAAGGGGTCAAGACTTAATTTTAACTGTTTTAAAATTTTCAAGGACTTAAAATAGAATTAACCCAAAAAAGTTGGGTGGGCTATGTTCCCCTTCTGCCCCCAAGATGTTCCGCCCCTGCCTCTATTTGATAAGCAAGAATTAACCCAAAATGCCACTACAATTTTATATCTTTGAAATTTAAACATTCCCAAATTGAAATCAACAATTTCCATATTAAAGATCCTCGTTTTACTAGTTTGGTTGCTAATTTTTCTTTTCGCAGGTATGTTGCTAGTAGGTGCTGCTATTTGTTGAGTGAGTTTGTAAAATTGTTGGGTTGTTGATTTAGTTCATTGTGGCAAGAGATAATCCATTGTGGCTTGCTATTTGGGGTTAGTATTTTATTTATAAGTCTCCTCCTAGATTGGGTATACCAAAACTAGATTGAAGGGTCCAAAAATTAGAATCCATACTAAATTCAAGAGAAAGAGAGGTCGTTGGAGATGGCTTCCTCGAGAAAAGAGGCACTAAGAATAGAATTTGAGTGATATTAGCAATGAGATTTGGGATGTTTTTCGGTTAAAGAAACACCAAATTTGCATTTAAAATGATGAGATACGTTCGGTGAAAAGTTTTTAGAATCATTGACCTCCGGTGACCGGATTTGGTTAGAATGGCGATCGGTATGGTGGTCGGAATGTAGGAGGAAGAAGAAAAAAGAGCAAAAAAATGAAAAAAAAAAATCAATGTATGAAGTTTAGTGAGTAAATTGAAAAAAATTGAAAGTACGGTGAATGAAATAAGAGAGAGAGAAAAGTTCAGTGAGTAAACAGGTAGGTTACCCTAAGTTATATAACATATGGTGAGAGAGGGTCCATCCTTTTATGTATCTTCTTCATGTGATTTTTTTCTCTTTAAATATCAAAATCTGAACTAAACTCATATTAAACAAAAGTAGTAAAAAATTTATTCATCTTGGATTCACTCGAATGATCATTTGATCTCTAATTAAAACCTTGTTCCCGTGTTAAATGGTTCAAGTTTTTACTAAAATACCTTGTTTACCAATAATTTCACCCAGAGATTTATTAACATAAAATTATGGATAATTAATCTTCATTTTTTAAAAATAGTGTTATTTTCACAGACGATCATACTAACATAAATAAAAATGGACGAATTAAACTCTCCACCGAAGTTCAATTAATGTTTATTTTTTTCGTTGGGGTATACAACGATGTAAAAAGAGTGATTGAAAAGGATTGTGTAAATTTAATAGATTCATTACGTATAGCAGTGAGAAAAACACTAATTCCACCCCAAAGTCATTCCAATCAGAATCATAATCAGTCTGTCCGTACGTGGCGTGGAAGGAGTAATTTAGGCTCTTCATTCACCTGATGTATGTGACGATGGATTTCTTCTAGACGTTGAAATCTTCTGTAGTTCGAGGTTCGACATCCGCTCAATCTCCAAGGCTCGTTCAAGCTTGCCTTTAACCATTGATCTGTCATTACATTAATATCATTCGATATAACGATGAAAACATATTCAGCACCCGTATTTGATACACATGTCTATATCCGAAGAAACGAACTAACATGCACACAAATACGAAAAGGATCGTGGGAAAGTTACCTTTGCTGCTCAGGTGCTCCACTCTCCTAGAATAGCTCTCAACCTCTCGTTTTCTTCGACATGCTGTTTCGGGGTTTTCAGCAACGTAAATTTCAACATGGCAGTGTGAGATTACAATCGTTTTCACCATTTTACTATTAGGTGTTTCCAGCTTACCTGATTGTTGGTTGTTCGAACGTGCTAGACCTCTGCCTCCGTCTCCGCCATTAAAGAACAAGCAAGTCTTAGCTAGGACTGTAGTTCATTCATCTACAATTCGAATAGTTTAATATCTCAGTTTCTGACTGAATCTAATACTTTCACACTTCTCTGAAAAAAAAATGCCGGAGAGATAGGTAGAACGATCACTACCAATGCTCGAAGTTGAACAACCTAGGGTGCATGGAGAAGAATGAACAAATTGGAGTTCAAATACAAAGAAACACTCCCTGTCCCGAAGTGCATATCCAAAGATGTACATGAAATGCATATATTGACTCGAGCATAAGTGTTGGATATGGATATCCATCTGATAACTTTTCGTGCATTTAGGGTGTCAGCCGTCAACCCCCATACCCATGTCTGAAAATGTCCCAGACATGGGTGTGAGAAACATATACTTCAACTAGAAAAAAGAAGGGATAGGACTGTAGGGTTTGCATGCCAAATGAACACCCCGCTTCTTTACAGGTTAAATCCTTACCCTCAAGCATAAATCACCTATTTAAACCATGAACATGAGCAGTGGCAAAACCAGAAAATTTTTATAGACTAGGCCAATATAAACTTAATAAATTTTTTATCTAACATAATTCATACATGTTTTTATTTAGCGTAAACTAACTATTTGCTCACCCATCTATTACTTAATTTATATTTTAGTCACTCAACTATTATTTTTCATAATCATAGCTAACCTCACATTTTGGTTCTATTTTGATCACTTACCATTAAAAAATTTAACGATGTTAACATGACATTTTTTTAAAGATGAGTGACCAAAACAGAACCAAAACATAAATTAAGTGTGATTTAAAATAAATAAAAGTGACCAAAACAAAAAGTAAATAATTTATGAGTGACTCAATAAGTAATTTCCCCTTTTTGGGCATGGGGGGTGCCATGGCCTAGTAGGCCTAGGATTGCATCCGCCCCTGAACATGAGCATATGTTCTAACCAGATAGAACAGCATGAAAAGGGAAAAAGGTGCATAAGTACAACAGATGATATGCAAGCATGAAAAGTTTATTTGTTCAAAAGAAATCTCTGCACTGATAGTGCAAGCCCGCAAATTTTCATGTTTCCAATATTAACTAGTGTACCTCAGCTGATAGTGTTCGCAATTCTTGATCACGTGCTGCTAATAGATGGGCAAGATCGACCTGGAAAAGAAGTCGAGAGTAACCAACCATTATTTTGACCATTTCTTTCAAAGTTATCACAGCATTCATCTGTAAATATGAATAATCACCTGAGGTGTGGTTCCATCATTAGATCCTTCATATTTGCTTATGCACTCTTGCAATCGGAGAACCTGCAGATAAAGATATATTGCTCGTATTACGGGTACACTGCTAGGCTACTGCAAAATTAATTAGAAAAACAACTATTTCAAGTACCTCCTCACTCAGAAAATGAAGTTTTTCACGCTGATACTGCAGTAAAGCCATTTGCTGATCAGAGTCGACCACCATTGTGATACCTGGAACACCAATCAGAAGCAAACATGGCAAACACCAATGTATAACAACAGTTATGATTCATAATTTCTTATTAATCTTTGTCTTTGATTTCATGACAAATGAATCTCCAGCGACTATAATCAGGATATCCAGAAACCAGCAACGCTCCCGAAATGGCAATATCAAACTAGTCTAACTAAATTAAAGATTGAAAGACGGATTTCTTTCACGGTGAATCTTGAAAATTCAGATTGGATTGACAAAAGTTTTTCCATTACCTCAAATCTTCCAAAGGACTTTGTGGTTGAAGGGGAGAATATAATGACTTCAAAATATAAGGCTAAGAATCCAATGAATTGTACTGGTGTACATAGCCTACAATAACCACAAAAGCGAAGAAACGCATTGGAATCTAACTGAATAAAAAAAGAAAGAAAAAGAAACTCATATTATAGGCATGTTTTATTCAATTAAACTCTTCGAGTGGTTCTACACATGTATGTGTGAGCTTACCAATATACACAATCATAACGAATGCAGAAAATACTGCTTCAACCAACATAATAATCCTGCAAATCAAGTGGGATATTGTCAACAATATGTAGTTTTGAATGAAAGGGAGAACTAGGAATGTTATTGTAATATATTTTTAATTGCAACTTCTGGATTGAACCAACATCATCAATGGCATCATACAGCCCCAATGATGAAATTGTAACATAAAACTAATTAGAACGAGCATCTAGAACTCATAAATCGCACACGTTTCAAGATGCAAACATTTAAATCAATATGATAGGATACAAAATCAGTATTTCTTTCTCAATCCCCAATAAAGGCTAAAAAGTAACTAGTTCGAATAAATCCTTCGACAAGCATAAGAAATATATCTCAAGCTTAAAGAAAAAGGAATTATTGCTGAGCCGTAGATTACCTGGGTATAGCAGAGGTGGAAAGAAAACTAATGTAGGGTTGCCAAACCATGACAAGCATCATTCAAGCAGTTCCTAATACAACAATAATGATGTGACAAATACGATCTTTTACCAAAAAATTACATCATAATTCCTAATTGAAAAGGTTCCATGGAGATAATCCATTATTGTCCAAGCGGATAACGGAAAAGATACTCACCATAAGCAGTAATGGCAAATGGTAGACCAACAATATGCTTCAACTTCTGACTGAAACTATAATAACCCTACAAAACATAAAAACATTTAATGGCTTCTACTAAATTTAAATGTCACTTAGGAAACCAACAGGATGGAGTAATCGGTAAAGTTACTCGTAAACGTATCTTCTGGACTTGATAAACATGATATTGCTGAAAAAAGCCTGTAAAACAAGAACTTAAAAGTTAGCAGTGCACTCAAATCCTTGTTATAGTACCGCATTCCTTCTATATCAAACCGATATATAAAGGAATTCGTATTCAAATGTATACTATAAAGCATCCCATGGACGGTAGAGATCTGGAACAACATCTTTTCTTCTTTTCATTCAATAAATACAAGAGATGACCTGGCAAAGAGACTTGTGACCACTAGAAGAACAACATCGCAACTGCAAAGCAACGGTGAGACGAAATTCCCAAGAGGCCGAAATATCCAAGGAGCTGCTGCAGCCAATATTGCATAACCTGCCTAAAATTTCGAAAAACAATCAGAGCTTCCCCTAATTACGCATTGAAAGATTCATTGTTTGATAGAAAAAAGTGATAAACTTCAACTTGCCAGTATGAAACAGTAAAAAAACCCTCAACGATACTCCTTGGTTTCCGGTGACCGAATAATTGAGCCTCATGAAGTATATCAAGGAACCTACAAATTGACTCAAAATTTGAAATTACCCATCACTCAAAGGAGGCGCATTCCCTAGGACGCACCATTCATAAAACTCATGGAAGGCATGTTTCATGTGACGCGTCTTTCCTCCCATCAGCTAAGACCTGTCGTACGCCTCCTTCTCTCTCTTAAAAAAAATGTTAGATCGGAAAAGAGTTAAAAAAAGATGTTTGATAGGTAGTATTTTTTTAGTAGGGTGATTTTTCGTCAAGAAACCATACTTTTTAAGGTATAATTTATTTTATATTTATTATTTTTAGTCAAGATTTTTTTATTATTTTATTACTTAACTTTTTATTATTTGATTACTCAATTGTAAATTAATTTAGTTTATATTTATTATCCACATTTAAAAAATGGAAGGTCGGGATATTGCGATTGGATGCTGATCATATTTCGAGTCATTTTGTCAATATGGTAAGAATATAAACTATATTCTTTTTAATTTTTTTAATATTAGGATACTTATCGTATAATATTTAAATTGTTAAAATTTATTTAAATAAATTTTGAAATATTTAATTCAAATTTTAATTGATATAATTTATTTATTAGAAAACTTATCGTATATTAGAAGTTTTTATTCGTGGCAACAAGATGAACACACTGAGTCATGTAGGAGGTTGAAAACTTGAACCCACCATTATTTCTGCACTGATCGAGAGGTGGAGGCTAGAGATATACAAATTCCATCTGCCATGTGGGGAGTGCATCATTACCATGGAGGATGTTTCAATGCAGTTGGGGCTCCCGGTAGATGGAACTAGTATTTGTGGTGTAGGGTATGATGATTGGAAGTCTTTGTGCATAGAGTATCTTAGAGCTTCTCCGGAGGATTTCAATGGTAGCCGAATACCGTTTGGATGACTGCAAAGAAATTTTAAAGAGTTGAGCAAAAATTGTTCCAAGGACGAGGTAAAAGCATTTGGTGAGGCATACATATTACAAATCATTAGAGATATATTGATGCCCGACAAATCTTAGAACCAGGTTCATTGTATGTGGTTACGACATCTCATCGATTTTGAAGTAGTCAGCACGTTGAGTTGAGGCTCTGTAGTTTTGGGATTTTTGTTTAGAGAAATGTGTCGGGCCACGAGATTTAGTAAAACTTCTATTAGCGGACGTCTCCCGCTTCTTCAGTCGTGGGCATGGTATCACATGCCTTTTTTTGTGTCCGATCGTGAATCAACCATTTGCCTTTCCGTTACTATCAAGGTAATTTTAATATTGAAATTATTTTTAAATAAATTTTTATTATTATATAATGAAATATATTTTTATATTAAATAGGTGGTCATCGAATAGGAAAAATCATCGTGACATCCCAGATGAATTGCAAGATATTCAATTACGAATTGATCAAAAAGTTGGCTTAGAGGTACGCTTTTAAATTTTAATTTTTGATTTAATTATTTTTATATAATTTGAATCCCATTTTAATTTGATAAGAAATATATATTTTTGTTTTAGTTCCAATGGTTGCCCTGTGTGAACAACGAAATGAGGGCTTGCATCCCGCCTGAGTTGAGTGGGCAACTCTACATATAGGTAGTTGTTGTGCCTCTTATCTGTTATGTTATTTTTGAGTGGCATCTGATTGACCGTGTGCTTCGTTAGTTTGGTTTCAAGCAATATATTCTTGAAGAACCTATAAATCTTGACAATATGCATAACATTGATAGACGAGGCAAAAAAGAGGTTAATTAGATGGTGAAGGATAGAGATTGGATAGCGATGTGGGAGAATTGACATCAACGCTTGCGCCATTGGAAGTATATATTATAAACTAATTCCTTGATTTTAGATGACTATATTGAATGGTTCAACGGAAACAGGAAACCATTTTTACTTTCAGAGGGAGCACGAGGGGCCAATTCATTATCGCCAAGAAATACGTCCAACATCACAGTATCATTATTCCTTTAATCGTGGACAAAGAGTAGGCGCTTCTACGACATCCTCATCAATGTCACCGAAACCATCACAACATCCATCACCACTAGTTTACATCCCAATCCCACTAGTTTATATAGGTACTCCGTCGGTTCAGATGCCACCGAATTACGTTCAAATCATCTGCCGGTTCAGATGTCACCATCGTCGGTGTTTCAGATGTAACCACCGTATTGTTACGTACAGAGCCCTCAGGGTTTTATGACACCCCCTAACGGATATTATATGGCGATGCCTATGGGTCTAATATTTATTGCTTATTCTATGCAGACATCGATGTCAGGTTTTTCACAGTTTTTGCATTTCTCACTTAGCAGTGGGATGGTTGGTCATACACATTCAGGGTCCTTATTTTATGCAGATCATGCATCATCATCCATCCCTTATCAACAAAATATAGTTGTTGCCGATGATGATGATGAGCATGAGGAGGAGGAAGAGGATAAGAGTGAAGAGGAAGAGCAACTTATCAGAAGAAGCCCTCATCGAAATAGACAACAACTACCTTATGAAACACATTCAATAAAGAAACATCGATAGAATTTAATTAATTGTAATATTTTTATTTAATATTTTTAATTTTTTCATAAAATGAAATGGATTATTTTTTTTATTATGTTTCTTTATTAAGTTCTTATATTAAGTCTTTTTTATTACATCTTTATATTAAGTTTGGGTATTATGTTTAATGTTTATGTTAATGAACCGGAAAAAAAACCCAAGAGTCAATGTCTATAATAATCTTATATTAAATTTAATTAGTTCTACTAAAAACAAAATCTAGTACAATATTGTTTTCTCTTAACCGTTGACCACCACTAATGTAATTGTATTTTCTAATGTTTCAACTTATGTTATTTCATTATCTTTTAGTTTCATTTAATGTGATTTGACCTTGTTTATTTTACATGTCCTTTTTCTTATATGTATATTTTTTTGTAATTTAATGTTTAAGATTCATTATTTTTGGTTTAAGATTTATTTCTTATAATCTAACATACAATCAACTTTAACCCTAAACTACTTTAAAAACACTAAACCATTTAAACAAAATACCCTAAACCATTTAAACAAAATTCTCTAAATCACTTTAAAAACCTTAAACATTCTAATATACAATCAAATTTAATCATAAACTACTTTAAGAACCCTAAACCATTATACAAGATATCCTAAACCACTTTAA